GTGAGTCCCGGGCTACGCAGGGTAGGCGTTTTCCTGGATATGGGTATGAGAATGATTTCCTTTTATAACATTAATGATGGGACCCATATCTTTACATTTGCTAAGATTTCTGCTGCAGAGCCACTGTGCCCATTTTTTGCTCTTGCAGATTCAATTATCGATGACCAAGGCTTCGTGAGTATCTGTCCTGTGATTAATCTTGGCACTGACAAATCTACAGTTTCTCCTGAGCAGGGCAAATAAACTTTTAGCCACAAAACCATTTAGACACTCACTTTATGCTCAATGCTAGCAACTTTTCTGCTTGGTACAAGATAATGGAACAAAGTTACAGCAGAAAAATATGGAACATCTCAAACTATGAACGTCAATGAAGTAGATTAATAAGAAATTGCATTTTAAATACTAAAAAGTATTGTTACAGTTGTCCTTTGGGTTTTATGGGCCGTGGCTCCGTGTCCCTCCCACACCTGTCCGAGTGGCTTTTGCTGCCTCTCTGTGCTCTGGCTGCCTCACCCTGCACTGTGCCGCTGGCTCACTGACATCATAACTCTTCTGCAAATTTATCTTGCTGTCTGTCTGTTCCTTCTTCCCTGGAGCAGCTGAAAGGATCATCTTGTGAATCTGACTCATTTCATAAGTCATTCTCACACTCTTTATGTTGTATCCAGCCTGGTTTTGGCAGAAAGTTTTTCTCACATACAGGATATGCCAGGGCTGGACTCTGTCTTTATATGTGTATGTGGAGTGACCCAGAATCCAGCCAAGAGCAAACCCCAAACGGTTACTTTATGACCGGAATCCAATTCATTCCCATCACGTAAAGTTCACCGGGCTCCCTACACACTGTCTCCCAAGCTTTGTCTTCTTGCTCAGACACTGAATCCCGAGGAGTGATCTCGTCCCATTGTACATCATTATTAATAGAACTAAATGCAGGTCTTTTAAAAATATATATACAAAGAAAAACTCTTCATTTAATATGTGATACACTTTAGGAGGGGGAAATAGATTATATTCAAGTTATTTGAAATTTGAAAACAAAGCTATTATTTTATGAATTAAGTACAAATTAAGTTCTAACCTGGCCATTTCCATGATACCTGCAGATTCATCACTTCTCTCGGTCAAGACCTGAGTCTCAGCCTGGAGGACATGATGTTAAGCAAAATAAATCAGCTCCGGAAAGATAAATACCGCATGTTCTCACTCCTATATGGGAGCTAAAAGAAAAACGCTGAGCAGAGAATAGAATCATGGGTGTAGAGGCTGGGAGGGTAAGGGGGAGGGGAGCTTGGGGAGAGGTTGGTTATTGGATACAGAATTACAACTAGATAGGAGAAATGGGCTCTGGTGGAGGCTGGGAAGGGTAAGGGGGAGGGGAGCTTGGGGAGAGGTTGGTAATTGGATATAAAATTACAGCTAATTGGGAGAAATGGGCTCTAACACAACTGCAGTTTAGGTAAATATGGTTACTTGTATATGCTTGCATATTTTCGAAAAGCTAAGAGGATTCTGAAGGCTCCCATCACAAAGAAATAATAAATGTTGGCCAGGCACGGTGACTCGCTCCTGTAATCCCAGCACTTTGGGAGGCCGAGGCAGGCGGGTTACCTGAGGTCAGGAGTTCGAGACCAGCCTAGCCAAAATGGTGAAACCCCATTTCTACTAAAAATACAAAAAAAAAAAAAAAATTAGCCAGGCGTGGTGGCACATGCCTGTAATCCCAGCTACTCAGGAGGCTGAGGCAGGAGAATTCCTTGAGCCCAGGAGCCAGATGTTGCAGTGAGCCAAGTTCATGCCACTGCACTCCAGCCTGACCGACAGAGCGAGACTCTGTCTCAAAAAAAAAAAAAATTGTTTATAGTGTGCTAATTATCCTGACTTGATTGTTACACACTTTATGCATGTATCAAAATATTACTGTGTGCCATAAAAATGTACGATTATCACATGTCAACTGAAAGTAAAGAGAAAAAAAAGTAAACCAAAACAAGACCTGAGTGTCTCAGAGTCCTCTAATCCCATGAGGGATCATCTTTAAAGCTGACCAAAATTAGGTCTTTATATTTAATTACGCAAAAAGAGAAAATTCCTTTAATATGTGCCAA